GACAGCGGCGCTCGCTGCCGGTAACGCGCGCGTGGCAAAGCCCTTCGGGCTCCCGTCAGCCTTAAAGCCTTCATTCAGCAGAGCTCCTCCGCGATTATTATTATTTTCCCATTGCATTGCTGCCTTTTAAACGCCATTAACATATGTTTTTTAAATTGAGGGCAATTGCATGCAATTTTTTGCACTACGCTTGAATCGTAACTATCAGCTACAGGTAGGGAGATGATTAACGTGCCTCCTGCCCTGAGAGACAGACAATGAAAGCTGCCAATAAATTATACATATGCCTACAAATTGTAGGCCTCAGCTAAATGCAGGGTAAGGAATTTATTAGTTTATAATTGTGAACACCTGAAAAAAAAGGAAGTGGGTCAAATTGATACCATGACCCAGGCAATGAGTTAAAGGAGTCCCATGGAGCTGGCTCACCCCTGAGTTATTTGATGCCGTGGCAGAAAACCGGGGGAGGATGAAGAAGGTGACTGGTCCTTCCTGGCTGCCTTGCTGCTCTCAGCATCCTTTGGGGTCAAAACGGGCATGGGAAACACTGGTTTCCAGTGGAGCCCGGTAAAAATCCTTCATGGGTTTATTTTAAATCCACGCTGGGGCAACTGGGGAGAAAAACCCAGAGCTCAAAGCAGGGCTTGCTGCTAAGACCAAGCTCTGCAAGACCGTAGAGGGGAGAAAACAAACAAACAAAAAAAAAAGAGGAATAAAAAATACCAGTTTCAAGAGTCTTCCTGCTTTGTAGCTCTCCCGAGCGAGGCTCGTGGCGGAGCTGGTGCTTCGGGGCTGCCCGGAGAAGCCCTGAGCTCCCTCCGGGGAAGGGGGAGCAGCCGTCCCATGGGCGGCCGCTTTATTTCCTCACCTTTTAGGGCTGCCAGGAGCATCCTTTTCTCTCCTGCTTTGGCTTGAAAACATTATGTCCGCGCACACTGGCAGGGAGGTGCCTAAATTTGAGTTCAGATTCATCTCCTCTATCCTCCCTGCTGGATAATGGAAGAAATAGTAGAAAATAATAAAAATAAAAGGTACGGTCCCCTCCTAGCCACGGGAACCGAGCCTCGAACCGGCCCCGGGGGGAACATCACTGTGCGTGTACCTATATATGCACATGGATTAACAGGTAAAAACACATCCTCTCTCAGCCTGAGTCTCCACGTCCTCCGCACCGGGGTCTTCCCAGCCTGCCGGCCGCAGCCCCCTCCGACCCGCCGGACCCCAAGCACCCGGCTGGATTTTGCCAGGCTTGCTGGGGTGAAACGGGAGCAAAGAAGGAATTGTTCAAAGCCGCGGCACCTCCCAGCGTGACTTTTTTTGCCATCTGAAACGATGCCTTTAGCCGGCGGATTTCTTCCACTCGAGCGAAATATTTCAGATGCCTCAAAGAGAGCCAAAAGGCGGCAGGGAAAAAAAAAAATCCCTCCTCAATCACAATCTCAGTGTTGACTTGACCTTCTTCTAGTGATTGCTGGTGATGTGCTGAAGTGTTTTAGTTCCCCAAAAGAGGGGATTTTCTCTGGTCTTTGAAGAGCCAACAGACGAGCCAAATCGTTGCTTCTTTGCAGCATTCGCTGCTGGGGGACCCGGCCGAACCCCAGCCACCGGCCAAACCCCTCTGGGCACCCTCTGGCCGAACCCCTCCGGGCACCGGCTAGAAAACCCATCAGCATTGAAATCTCAGCGCGCTCTCCCTAAAACCGTGCGATAGTCACTTACAAACACCCGTTTCCTGCCTTGCGGTTGCTGTTTCCTGCAGATTTGGGGGATAACCCCCTCCAACCCTTCGGGTGCTGAGGTTTAATCCCGGCAGCCCGGCGGGGGCGTGCGTCGGGGCGATGCTTCACCTCCCTGAACCCTCGGGCTCGGCGCAGGAGCGCATGCCTGGCGCTGCCTCAGTTTCCCTCCGCTGACTCACTTCCCGCCCCGCGACGCCCTTGGGCCTGGCAGGAACATGCCAGCTGAGACACATCAGCTAAAATTAGCACCTCCACCCCCAGCTCCACACTCTGCCCATCCTCAGAGCACCGGTCCTGCGTGCCTCAGTTTCCCCAATGCTCCAACCTGCTGCATGGCGCAAACAGAGGCTCTGCTCTATATCCCCCCTGCTCCCCGCTAGCCCTGTCGGGGCAGCCAGCGCT